AAGTGATGATGGTTATTTATAGATTAATAGGTTCAATTGATCTGATTGTCAAATAATGGATTTAGTTGATAGACCATGTTGGAATTTTCGAAAGCTCGAATCGACAACCGGAACGGTTTATAAAGAGGGGTCGGAACGGTTTTGTGTTTAGGGAGTAAGGAGATTGAAAGATAGAGAATTGCATAGCGATTTATAGTGGTTCGACTTTCTCAACCAAAGTCTACGTCCACTACCTTAGCTCATCACCAAGGATTTTCCAACAAATTCACTAATTTGTTCTTTCTTTTGAGGATAAAGAGTAACCTTACAAACTCCCTAGTTTTTCCGGGCTAAACTAGAACCTTTCCCTAGCTTTTACACGGGCTAAGCTAAAACCTTTCCCCTTTACAAAAGGATAAAAGATGTGAAAACCTCTCTAAGGTAGGTGTTTACAAGATTGAGCTCACAAGAACAAAATATTTACAAGAGAAAGATGAGATAAGATTCAAAAACTCTTCTCTTGTGTTTGATTGCTTTGATAGTTGTTCTCTTACATCTTCAAGTGTCCTTAAGTTGTATTTATAGCTTGGAATGTATTTGAATTCGTATATAGCCGTTGGGGATATTTTGGAGTCGTTTGGAGATGAGAAACAATTAATAAAATAGCTTGGAGCATGGGGGGAATCGGTACCCCCTCATGGGGAATCAGTTCCCTAAGTACAATCTATTTTTGACCGTTAGACAGGGGGGAATCGGTACCCCTGGACAATATGATTTTTCTTGAAACCCTTTAAAAAGAGAATATTTTTTGCTCGATTAAGGCTCGAAATACTTTGTAAATTTTTTTAAAAATAGTTTAAGTATAAAACACAATTTTACACTTTAGTAAGGATTAAAATAAACTTTGAAAGACTTGGAGTAATATTTTGATATTCGAATAATTACATCGAATATACTTAGAAAATCTTTTGTAAAATCTTAAAATTCATTTAACTTAATTTGTTATATCGAAACATCAAAATGTTTTCAACAATCTCCCCCTTTTTGATATAACAAAACATTTGAGTAATTTTAAGATTTTGAAATCAAGTTTGAAATTACTCCCCCTTACTTTAACACTTCTCCCCTTTAACACCATAACACTTCTCCCCCTTTTTATTAAATCAAAAAGACTCTAATCTTTGAAGTTCAAAATAACTTTGGAGAGTAAGTAGTAAATTTGACATTTTAAAAATCATTTGAAAAAAAATCAAAGCTCCCCCTCAATAAATGCATTCCAAATAAAATTATGCTTTTAGGATCTTGACACAAAATTGAATTTCAACAAAGAATAACAAACATGTTAGTAGCACATGAAATTCAATACATCCAAGTCTAAAATACTTTATGCAATATCAATTATTGAAATTAAGTGCACATGCATAAAGTTTTCCAAAAATGTTATGCATTTGAAATTTTTGATACCAATTGTTAGAGATATATCATTTTCATTTAAACCACATGCATAAACATTTAAATTTCGGTCAAAAATTTTAAAATTTATAAAATTAAAACATTTGAAAAGTTGATAACAATTGTTAGAGAGATATCATTTGCATTAAAAACCAATTTGACCAAAATTTTGTTATGATGAACTAAAAATTCTTAAAAATTAATATATCTTTAAAATGTTCATCATAATCATATTTTCAACATACATGAGATTAAAACAATGATGTATAATCATTTAAAACAAAAACTCATGCATGCTTAAAATCAAATGAGCAACCAAACAACCAAAATTAAAAGTATTAAGCTTAGAGGTTACCCATTCTTTTTTTCATATGTGGCTAGAGCATCTTGAATATCATCATTTTCATCACCATTGCTTCCACACACCTACAAGAGACATTTAAGTAGATTTTGCTATCCAAATTGCTTTGGATCCTTGAACGTTAGTTACAATGCCCCTTGTTCCTTTTGGAACTCATACTTGCCTAATTTTAAAACGTTTTCCTTTCTTCAAAGGACAAGTATGTTCCATATGACCATGATAATGGCAATGTGAGCATTTTGCCATTTTTAAACATAATAGATTGTTTTTAGAAATTAATTATTTTTCTTTTGTTAAGCTTTCAATATTAACTTCTAACTCAAAATTTTTCTTTTCTAAATCATTTATTTTGATTTTTGAAAGTTCTAAATCATTTTTCAAAATTTCATTTTGATTTTCAAAATGAAATTTTGATTTTCAAAATCAACTCTAGCTTTCAAAATCGATTTATTTTCAATTTTGAGTTTTGAAATTAATTTCGTATATTTGGAATTCATGGTCTCAAATCCCAAATACAACCTATTATAAGCATCTTGTAACTCATTAAAAGTAAATGAATTAAATTCATTTGAGTTAGAAGATATCTCGGGATCTTCAAGAGCATTAGAGACACCACATTTGTTGGTTCTTCTTTCTTGTTTCCATGTATTTCATCGAGCTTATTCCAAAGCTCCTTGGCACTTGAACATGAAGAAACTCCTTCATAGATTTCAGGACCAAATGCACATAACACCATGTGCATGGCCTTGGCATTAAGTTGAGCTTTCTTCCGTTCTTTGTCACTCCGCTTCTTCTCCTTCTTCTTTGGAGAAGAGTAGTCATTCTCGATTATCTCTCATGCATCAAGATCATTGGATTGGATGAATACCTTTATTAATTTCTTCCAATGACGATAGTTGTCTCCATTGAAGTATGGATGCTTGTCCGTTGGTAGAGAGTCTTCCATGTGGAACGAGTCGGAGGTGGAAGCCATCTTCTCGGTTGTGTTGGGAATTGATAGAGCTTCTTCGAGGACCGTCTCAAAGTGGTTAAACCTTCTTAACGAGTTAGGCTCTTATACAAATTGTTGGGATTTTCGAAAGCTCGAATCGACAACCGAAACGGTTTGCAAAGAGGGGTCAGAACGGTTTTGTGTTTAGGGAGTAAGGAGATTGAAAGATAGAGAATTGCACAGCGATTTATAGTGGTTCGACTTTCTCAACCAAAGTCTACGTCCACTACCTTAGCTCCTCACCAAGGATTTTCCAACAAATTCACTAATTTGTTCTTTCTTTTGGGGATAAAGAGTAACCTTACAAACTCCCTAGTTTTTCCGGGCTAAACTAGAACCTTTCCCTAGCTTTTACACGGGCTAAGCTAGAACCTTTCCCCTTTACAAAAGGATAAAAGATGTAAACAAGAAAACTTCTCTAAGGTAGGTGTTTACAAGATTGAGCTCACAAGAACAAAATATTTACAAGAGAAAGATGAGATAAGATTCAAAAACTCTTCTTCTCTTGTGTTTGATTGCTTTGATAGTTGTTCTCTTACATCTTCAAGTGTCCTTAGGTTGTATTTATAGCTTGGAATGTGTTTGAAGTCGTATATAACCGTTGGGGATGTTTTGGAGCCGTTTGGAGATGAGAAACAATTAATAAAATAGCTTGGAGCGTGGGGGGAATCGGTACCACCTCATGGGGAATCGGTTCCCTAAGTGCAATATGTTTTTGACCGTTAGACAGGGGGAATCGGTACCCCCTGGGGGGGAATCTGTTCCCCTTGGGGGGAATCGGTACCCCCTGGGGGGGAATCTGTACCCCCTAGACAATCTGATTTTTCTTGAAACCCATTAAAAAGAGAATATTTTTGGCTCGATTAAAGTTTGAAATACTTTGTAAAATTGTTTTAAAATAGTTTAAGTATAAAACACAATTTTACACTTTAGTAAGGATTAAAATGAACTTTGAAAGACTTGGAGTAATATTTTGATATTCGAATAATTACATCGAATATACTTAGAAAATCTTTTGTAAAATCTTAAAATTCATTTAACTTAATTTGTTATATCGAAACATCAAAATGTTTTCAACAGACCGCTTGAGTCTAGTGATGATCATGTCAAAGAACTGTGACTATTCGGAGGATATAGAACTTTGAAAACTTCAAAAGTCTTGATAGACAGAGAATTAAGAATAAAGACGAGATTTGCTGAAAATATTAAAAGATGGAAAATAATATTTTTTTAGGCTTAAGGGTTATTTTTGCTATTGTAGTAGACTCAATTTATCATTTTCGTCCTTATGATATTTTCGCATCAATTTAACCCTAAAAATTATTTAGGGACATCATCCTAGCCCTTCAAGTCTGCTTTTACTAACAAAACTGTTAGTCTTCTACATCTATGGACGCCAACAATTTCCACGACAGTTAATATTACTGACGTGGCTTGATGATGACTTGATATTTACTAAAATTATAGATAATAAATTATTTAAAATATTTACTAAACACAACTACACAACTTTTAGGGAAAAAAATCCTAAAATTTCAATATAATCCCTTAATCTCACTTAAATAAAAAATAAAAGTTTATAGGATTTTTTTCTAATCGTTGTGGTTAGTAAATATTTTAACATAATCCCTTAATCAACAGAGGCATAAAACTAACGGTTTTATTAGTTAAAACGGTCAACGGACTTCAAGGGTTAGGATGATTCTTCTAAAAAACTTCGATTGTAAAATTGATGCGCAAATATAATAAAAACAAAAATGATAAATTGAGACTATTGCAAGAGTAAAAGTAGGCCTTAGGCCTAATGTTTATATTATTATAACAAATAATTTTATAATAAAAGAGTTGTTTAAGTTTGAACTGACCACTTAAAATGGAAAAAGAATTTAAACAGATCATATCATTTGCCACATCTAATTTAAACGATTTTAAGTAACTTTAAGAAATACGAGTAGTGGTGAATTAATGAAAACTTGAGATGAATGCAACAGTAGTGATTCTGGTTAGCTTAAGAACTAATAAAACCTACAATTTTTGTTTCTATTTTATTTGTTTCTTCGATCAAGCCCTCCTTGTTTCCATTATAAAACCCAAATCTCTACCATTTCCGTCACAAAAAATCTCCCAACTTCTCGCTGTTTCCTTCATACAAAAAAGAAAAGAAAGAAACCCCATTCGAGAATTCAAGGCTGATATCACACACACAAAAAAAGCAAGATGTCACTTATCAAAATTATCGCCACTATGGCGATAATGATCGCTTTAGCAACGAAAACCATCGGCGGCGGCGACGCCGAAATGAACCCTACTTTGGTTTCATCAACCGCACTCCCAAAGACCGAACCACCCGTACTGCCAAAGCCGAGTAGTTTCAAAAGGGTAAGTCGTTTCCTCCAGCAAGGAGTTAGAAACCCCAGAGCCGCCGATCACTGCCACAAAGACGAGGAGGTTTGCTACATCCAAGACGGCGCCACCTCCACTTGCTGCAACAACAAATGCATCTTTTTGGCGACGGACGACCACAACTGCGGCGCATGCAAGAGGAAGTGCAAGTTCACCCAAGTTTGCTGCCGGGGAGAGTGCGTCGAGATTGCTTTCGATAAAAGGCATTGCGGCGCTTGCAACCACCGGTGCAATCCCGGCGAATATTGCGTTTATGGAATGTGTAACTACGCATAAATTTTAAGGGTTATTATGAGCGTTGGGATTTATTCATATACACGATAAAAAAGAAGTACATTTGAAGTGCTTCTTAAAAGGTTATATTTATATAATCATTAATAATTACTATAATGTAATGGTATAAAAAATAAGTTTTAAGAAAATATATCTACGAATACTTCATGTATGCGATTTTGGGAGTTAGGAAGAGAGGAGGATATTCAATTGTATACTTACAACATTTTAGTACAAAACAATTAAAACAAGATTATGTTATTTATATATACTTATGCTAAATATTATTATAACTATTTTTTATTCATGGTAATGTAATATTTGAATTTATAAGATTGATAAAATATCATATGAATCAATCAGATTAACTTTAACAAATTTCTTAAAGAGTACTAGCTACTGAATTGATGAAAGCTTGGGATGGATGCAAAAGGGAGTGCAAGTTCTCCCAGGTTTGTTGCCGGGGAGAATGTGTCGAGACTGCTTTCGACAAAAAGGCATACTGGGGCTTGCAACCATTCATAAAATTTTGACATTTGAAATTCATAAAATAGAAAAAAATTATTTGTATTAAACAAATGCTAAGCTGCTGCATTTGTAGTTTTAAATCATGGTCCATTTGAGTGCTCCAAATAAAGTTAAAACTGAAGATTTTATTATGGAGGGAATAAATAGTAAATATATTTAATCTAAGCATAATTGCACAAACCAAGAACACAAAATTCTCCATTGCCGCACCTATTGTTGCATCCACCACAATGTTTGGCATTGAAAGATGGATTGACATATTGTCCCTTACAGCATATCTCATTGTACTTGCATTTCTTCCCACACTTGCCGCAGTTTTGCCAATCTTTTAATACGTTCACACATTTTTTCTTGCAGCATATAGGTCCAGGGCTCCCCTTTGCATGACAAATTATAGGGAACTTGTTGCAAGTAACCCTACGACTTCGTTTCCTATGCAACAACCAACGATGACCCTCGGCCGAAGAGTACTCAGACGAATCCATTGTTACATTATTATGATCATCATCTGCTGAATAGTTCTCATTACTCTCTTGTTCTGATGTTGCTGAATTGCTTAGGATTAAAACCACCATTAGAACCAATACGAAAGCTAGTTTTTGAACATTATAGGGATTGGTTGAAAGAAAATGGAGAAATCAGAGATGATGAAGAGTTGAAGAGAAAATGGATGTTTGAGATAGAGAATGGGGTGACAAAGAAGAAGGGTATTTATAGTGAAGTAAGTATGGCATTGGACTTATAGTGGAAGGCTCAGCCGCTGGTAATAAAATAATAAACTAAGTTGAAGAAAAGCAAAAGAATGTTTGCGAAAGGCACCATATTCACATTCCTAAAATTCAAATACAAAACAAATGTGATATATAAGACACGCGTAGGAAGGCTGGAATGAATCAATAATGTTGCAGACTCATTTTGTTTTTTCAGTAGGATTTCGTAAACTTTTGCAATCTCCCTAGACAGTTCAGTTAATGAAAAACCCAATATGGGATGAGATTAGAGTAAAGAGGGGCAAAGTTAATTGGCATAATCTAATCTGGTTTCCTCTTCACATACCAAAACACAGCATGATCGCTTGGATGGCTATCTTGGACAGACTGCCAACTAGGAATAGGCTTCAACATGGGCATTATAACCGATGGTTTGTGTGTCCTGTGCAATGAGGACCGGGAGACAAGAGACCATCTATTCCTTGAATGTCTTCTGGCGGAAGCTCTATGGAAAACCATTATGCAACTCTCCGGATTAAGGTCACCTTCTTTGTCCTGGAACAACTTCTTAGCATCGGCTTCTCATGCTTGGAAAGGTAAATCCCTACTTATCACTGTTTTGAAACTTGCATGGTGTGCATTACTCTATTCTCTATGGGAGGAACGAAACAGAAGGTTGTTCAAAGGAATCTCCAGAAATGCACCTGAAATTCTTAAAGCTATTAAGGAGATTGTCGGAATTCAACTTAGAGATCGGAATATTAGTAGACTTGATAGTGTTAATATTACTCTTTGTAAGAACTGGAGTATTGAATGACCTATACTCTGTTTTGTGAATAGGTTGTTCTTGATTTTAGGTTGTTTTCCATTAATGATTGTTTTATAGCAGAACACTGCTCCTTTGGTTAATTAAATTTTTCAATTATCCAAAAAAAGTAAAGTCAAACATTTTTATCTCACTTAATATACATTTTTTAATATATATATAACTTTTTAGGTATAGTTTTTTTTTAAAAAGTCCGATTTTTCAGATAATTTTAACCCTGTTTCCTTGGAATTCCTTTGTTTTTATTTAGAAAGCTGGATTTCATGTCCCCATATAAGGTTAAAATTGAAGATTTCATTTCTTGAAGGAATTCCAAGGAAATGACAGGTTGCATGAAAAGATCTTAAATGAATCCCAGTAAATGTAGTCCTTTGGACGTGTGGCAGCCACATGTGGGCACCAACAATCCATGCTTCAAGCACAAAAGGCTGCATTATTTGACTACTGTCGTTGTTTCGTTTTGAGCTTCTGTTTCATTTTCCTGGAATAGGATTGGACTTGATCTTCGTTGTTTTGAGTTTTTATCCTTTTCTAATGCTCTGCTTATTTCTCCACCAACTTTTTTCCCCATTAATTAATAAAAAGGTTAATGCTACAATAGGCTGGCATCGCTTGGTTGATAACATTATAGTCTTAAAGTCTGTTTGATACATTATAATTGATTTTTTAGAAAATAATTCACATTAAATGAACTACTTGAAAATTAATTTACGTAAAATGAATTATATTTTCTAGAAAACAGTTTTTAGAAATTATTTTTGATGATGATGATATGTAAATCATTTTTCACCAATTGTTAAATTTTCATATAATTATTTATTATAAATATCAAATATAATAAATAATATTATTCATTATAAGAAATTAATATTATTATTTTTAAAATATTCAATTAACTTATTCAATATTATTACTACAATATTACTTTTTATAATTTTATTAATAAATATATTTTAAATAATTTAATAAATAATATATTAATTAAAATAATATTATAATATTATATTAAAATTGAATACATAATACTAATCTTTTGTAATTATTCAATAATATTTTTTATAAAAATATTAAATAATATTAATTATATTAATGATTTATTAAATAATTGTGTATATTATTATAATATTAAAATAATATTACTATATTATGTTATTAAAAATATTAAAAAATATTTTGAATATTTTAATAATTAGTATTTTATAAAATATTACTAGACTATTATACTAATATTAAATGTATAAAATAATATTTTCCGTTTTTAATAATTTAATAATATTATTTTTATAAAAATAATAAATAATATTAACTATATTAATAATTTATTACATGTTATTAAAATAAAAATATAATATCATATATTATGATAATATAGTTGAGTATATACTAACATAATATTGGAAAATAAAATATTAATAAAATTACATTATATATATTAACTATTTTAATAATTAATATTTTAATTAAAATGATACTAAACTATTATATTAATATTAAATAAATAAAATAATATTATATTAATATTAAATAAATAAAATAAAATTAGAAAAATGGTTTATGAAAAATTAGACGATAATACGTTTTACATCAAATACAAAAGAACCAATAAATTGAATTACATTAAAAAAAACCAATTACGACTATCAAATACTGGAAAATATTTTCCGTAAAACTAATTATAATGGTCAAACACTGAAAAATAAGGAAAACATTTTTTGAAAAATGAATTCTAGCTATCAAACATACTTAGATTTTAAATATTTATAATCGAATTTTATTATTAATACAATGTTTGAATTTTCATTTTTAGATTAAATATATTTTAATTTAAATTTTATTTTGTGTAAATTCTTTTCATAATAATTTTCATTAATATATATATTATATTGTGTTTGATTTTTTTTTCAAAAAAATTGAAAAAAATTCATTAATGACTCAATCTATTTAGGCCAAAACCTGAAGTAAATGAATTAAATAATAATCCTTCCACAGATTGGGTTAAGATGACCCAACGGTATTACCTACCCGTTATGAAGACCGTCTGTAGGTTAAGTGTTATTAATCATATTTAATCTACAACAAATCCTATATAGGAAAATGATTTGCATCTTCAATCCAATGTCCAATTCTTTTTATTTCTTTATATATATATATTAAGAATTCAAATCAATGTTTTAATTTCAGGATGATGTATATATAATTTCAGTGTACTGTTTTATTACCTTAGAATTACATGAATTTGAAAGAAGAAAACCCAAATATTTTCATCAAATTAATGAAATATATTTAGCTTTTACAAATCAAATAAATTCAACAACTTAATAAATAAGTGAATAAATAATGAACTTATTTCATTTTAGCATAATTGCACAAACCAAAGACGCAAAACTCTCCATTGCATATTGTTGCATCCACCACAATGTTTGGCATTGAAAGATGGATTAACACATTTTCCCTTACAGCATATCTCATTGTACTTGCATTTCTTTCCACACTTCCCACAGTTTTGCCTGTCTGTTAACACGTTTACACATTTTTTCTTGCAGCATGTACGTCCATGGCTCCACTTTGCACCACAAATCGTAGGGAACTTGTTGCAAGTAACCCTACGACTTCGTTTCCTTTGCCACAGCGAACGATGAGTACTCGGATGAACTCATTGTTACATTGCTATGATCATCTTCTGCTGAATAATTCTCAGCACTCACCTGTTGTGATGCTGCTGAGATGCTTAGGGATAATATCATCACATGAAAACTGGTTTTCTGAACATCGTAAGGATTATTTGAAAGAAAATGAAGAAATCAGAGATGGTGAAGAATTGGAGATAATTGAAAATGGGTGTTTGGGATGAAGAATTTGGTGTCAAAGAAGGTATTTACAGGGAGAACTAACTATGAAATGTAGGGGGCATTGTACTTTGAACTTTTTGCTCTTAGCGGAAGGTCAGCCCTGCACATAAAATAATAAACTAGAGCAAAGACCAAGTTCATAAAAGGTACCATATTCACATTACTCAGATTCAAATAGTAAATATCAGACACGCGTAGGAAAGGTTGGAAAGCATCTATAGAGTTGCAGATTCATTTTTTTATTCATTTTGTTAGTCAAATTTTGACGACTTTACAAGTCCACTAGCTGAATTAGTGAAGAAAAAAAAGAAGATATTTTTGACATGAAAGGTCAAATTTTCCCTACAATTAGGCAAATTCAGGGTCAGAAAAAGATACCTTACAGATTTGGCAAGTTTGCAATAGTGTTGTTGAATCTTGAAGATGATGAAATGTACATTCATCGATTAAATGGAATTGAGGTTTCAAGAATTTGCTTAGTTTCAACAAGGGTCTTCTTAAATCTCTCTAAATTGATCTTTACATCTTGGCCATCGACATACACAGACCTGAATGCACGATATCCCTTGGACATTATAGATTCCGGATCCCTAACGACAGGGTGATCTTTACCGTAAAGATCGAACAATGAACTTTCCTCCGGTTCGATCTTGTACTCCAAGTATCGAACTCCCATCGACTTCGCCGGTCCACCATAATAGGTAATTGCCCCCCATTCACATCCCAACGGCACCACTTGAATCATCACTGCACCATTGGGCAAGAATATCTCATTTGTTAGCCCTGCACCATGGGCTCCAACCATGACACAACATGAGTTCACCAGCTCGGAGAACTCGTTCAAGTACATCATCCTCTCCGGTTCCACCCTTAAGACTTGAAAGCCTAGTCCCTCCATCATCGCCACCATTGCATGTTCATTCAGAAACCGTCTCGTATTCTGCCGCGATATAAGCATCAACACCGGCTTTCGAAGCTCAGACACGTGGTTCGTTCTCAGGTTATATGATTCTTTCAAGAACTTCCTGAAATTATACATGGAATAACCCCCTGGACTATCAGAAACGTTGAGGGCTAGATTGTCATGATATTCAAGACCTATAACAGCCCCCGGAAAACAATGAACGCTCCCATCCTCAGGATTTATAACATCATAACCAGACAACCGAGAGATAACCCTGCTGTACTTTTCAACCATCCAAAGCTCGAAATCAGTGATGACGAACTTTACTCGAGACCGGAAATGGCGGGTAGTGATGAACAGAGGGATGATAATCTCATTGAACTCATGAAAAACATTGCCTGTGAAGCCTTCTGAAGAGAAGACAACAGCTGTTACGTTGTGGGTGAAATTGCAAGCTGGTGGTGGATTAATGGTGCTGTCCCCATGAAGAATCTCAACCGGTGAGACACTCTTCATCGCTGTTTCGTCTTCCTTCCTTGCGTATGGCCTGACAACTCTCTTGACTTGAGGCTGATGATCATATGGCACATAAACAGTTAAACCTTTGTTGTACATCCTCACAGGTTTATTTGCAACGCATAGATCGTAATGAAAATCGGTGTGGCATGAAAATCCATTGGAATCGAACTGAACCCGATCATCTCCTGTTCCATTCAATGCAATATTTAATGCACATACAGTGTAAATTCTAAAAAAAATGGAAGAGATGAACCTCTATGTAGACACTAATTTTCGTCGACATATTTTTTCCCCCTTTATATGTACCTACATATTTATATATATACATATTTTGAAACTACGTATATAATATATAGTTTTTAATAGTTTTTAAAATTATATAATATATAGTTTTAAAAAAAACATTTTAGAAAATATATATAATATATAATTTTTAAAATCATTTGGAAAACTTATATATATATATAGTTTTTGAAAACATTTTTGAAAACATATATATTATAGTTTTGAAAACATTTTGAAAACATTTATATTATATAGTTTTTAAAACGTTTTGGGAAAATTTATATAATCTTTTTTGAAAACATGTTGGAAAACATTCGTATATTATATAGTTTTTAAAAAAAAAAAAAACATTTTGAAAATTTATATTGTATGTTTTGAAAATATTTATGTATATATATATATTATTATTATTTATTATTATTATTATTTTTCATTTTTTTTTTAACTTATTTTGGTTTTGTTTCAGGTCCAAAACGGGGTCCAAATAAGTCAGAACGGGCCTGAACCAGCCCAGCACAGGTTTGTGGTCTGAGAACCCTAGGCACGCATGTCAACACGCGCCGCACGGGAGTTCAAGGGTCATGAGCGAAACGGCCGGCCGTTATCCCGGGACTGACCCATCCCGGGATGGTCGGTCAACCACGAACCGAGTACTCCACAATATCCGGGGTTCTCAACGGCCGGCGGGGGTTATAAAAACCCACGGCCAAGTCACTGCCAAAAAAAGGAACATCCACTGAAAACCCAAGAATCGGGCACAGCACACCGAGAGAACAAAGAAACCAAGACCAGAAACCATCATCGTGTACCACACAGTCAAAACACATCAACACAACAAAAACATAGAACATCACAACATCAACACAGCATCAACAGTACTAAAGTACACGAAAACAAAGCCGAAATAACATCACTGAAGCCAAACCCCAAACACAAGTAAAGGAATACATAAAAAGGCCAAAGCCAAGAGAAACCGAGAGCGGGCACGGCGAGAACAGAAGCGGAAAGGTCGCCGGAAAGGTAAAAGGTCGAGACTTTTTGTTTAGATCTACTCCGGTAGGTGGGGTTTTTGGGGATTTTAGGCTTGGTTTCGTGTTTACGGGGTTAAGGGGAACATCTTGCTAAGGTTTGGTTTTGTTTCCGGCGGCCGGGGCGGCGGCGGTGCGGCTGAGTGGGCCACCAGACGGTGGCCGGATATCGCCCGAGGAAGGGCTGTTTGAGAGAGATATCTCTCAGTTGAGAGAAGAAATCTGGAAAATGGAGAGAAATGATTCAAAATAGGCCGGTTTTGGTATTTATATACCAAGGACCATCCTGCAAATACAAGATTCTTAAATCCCTTCCGTGGTCCCTGATACTTTGAGTCGCAATTCATTTTGGTCACTACCTGTAAATTTGCCTCCGAATTTCCAATTGAATCAATTTGGTCCATGTTTATATTTTTTATATTTCGTGAATTGGCACCTAACTTTTTCTTTTCTCTTTTGCAGTTCATTTTTAATACCAATCTAGTCCATTAATTTCAATTTGTCTCAATTTGATCCTCTAAGTCGATACTTTATTTTATTCTTTTTTTTATGTTTTTTTGATTTATCTAACATTTGTCTATTATTATATTTTCTAACATTTTTGACTTTTTTTAGAAGAACTCCAACCAATCAAAGGTAAGTAATGTGAATCGAGTTTTTAAATTTAAATTTAAATTTTAAATTTTCGCAACTAAGACAACCGACAAATTAATTGGTACCGAAAGGGCGGTTCAAGGGTGCTAACCCTTCCTTGACCGTAATCGACTCCCGAACCCGACACGCTTCTGGTACAACGCAGATCAGGTAAGATGGTGTCCGACCCACCTAAATTCATTTTAAAATGGTCGGTGGCGACTCCCAACCCAATCACTCAAGTCGAAGCCCAATTCCGGGGCCCAACCGAAAGACGGTTACGACAGCTTGGCGACTCCGCTGGGGACAAGTAAGTGAGTCAGGCCAGAATTAATTTTCGATTGTCTTTTTTTATGCGAAAATGTAAATGTAAATTTAAATTTATTTATTCGATTTCAGTTATTTACCTTTGATCATTTTTCAAATAAATAGTTGTACTAACATTTTTTAATGATTTCAGATTTTTCAAAGTTTTCATCTCAGGCTCTATACCCGAGCTCCGAACCCTTTTAAGTGGGGGCGAAAGCGACGCCTTCGTGTGAATTTATTCACCGTATGGGCCTAGCAAGTAACCTTCGGGATTCATATACCTTATGTCTTCGTGTGAATTTATTCACCGTGCGGGCATAAGGGAATGTGTCCTCTCGAGTTTAACTTAGTCCATACAAGCCTGTGATGGGTTTAGGACTAAGGGTCTGGCAAGCCCAAGGGGGCACCGGCAAGGAGAACTCGAGTACCGTTTTTTAGAACCTAAACCGGGAGAGTACAGGGAATTAGAGCCCGCCCCAAAACCTCATTCCAAACCCTAGGATGTTTTATTTCCTACTTTATTTTCTGTTCAAAGCATGCGAACTAGACAAACATGTGGTTAGGTTTTGTTTGAAATTAGCATGCGGGATAGAGATCATGTCCGGGTAGGAATAATAAGCATGTGGGGTAGATATCATGTGGGATAGCATTTTTCATTTTTATTATTGTTTTGATTTACCTCACTAACCCTTTTATTTTTTTTTTATTTTTTTTTTTTTGTTCTCTTTTATTTTGTGTTCATCGTTTGCATCATTTAAAACGATGTGTTGATCCACCAAAAATATGTTTGTTAAACATGAATAATCTGTATTAATGGACAAAGGGATTATAATACAAAGAGATAAAAAGCTCAGAAGTCTAGCCGTGGTCAAAGAATACTCAGAGGCAAAGGTTGCAGGGGCAGGACGAGGAAAATGTTGTTGACCCAGACGCTCCTTTTGAAAACTTCGATAACAAGTGGCGAAACCCCAGTTAAGCCGCAGACCATTATTGACAAATTCTAGAAACAAGTCGATAAACTTCGGATAAAGGGCTCCAATGGCACTTTCGTTTGGATCAAGCTCGACATAGGGTGAAAGTCGGAGATGCAGTCCTTCGAGACCCTTTTGGGGCAAGCAGCCCATCACCTGCACAAGTTTAGCCAAAGGAGCCAGAATAGTTCGACAGGATATTCAACCAGTGAAAAAGACGAATCAACTTGTCAGAAGCTGTACAGGATTTGTACCACCTAAAAAAAAAGTTTTTTGTCTCTTCAGATGTAACACTTTTGTCACCAATAAGGGTTATTCAGAATAACAGGAACATTTTTTGGATCAATGCCTCGGACATTTCATGCATCATGCATTTAGACATTTTGCATTTCGTTATTTTCTTTGCATTTTGTTATTTTCTTTGCATTCACATTAACTAACATATACATGTCTCATCAGAAGGAGAGTAAATACTGGATACACCGTCTCAAGCATTGGACACACCCCATCCACATAACACTCGTTTGAAGAAGAAGAGGATGGAAGCCAGAATTACACAAATCGAGGAGAATATGTTAAAACTACAAAAAGAGCTAGAAGACAAGATAAACCAGAACAGTCGAAATACTCTAGAAACAATCACAAAGAACCAAGAGTCCTTGGTTGATCAGATCGTTGCCAAGTTAATTGGCCTACAACAGACCAGTGCGCCTGGGGCAGGTTCATCGGAAGGGGTAACTATACAACCTACCCCACAAGTGGTTATCTCACCTGAAATCTTACCAGAACTCCGAGGGGACTCATCGATGGCAAAAGCAAAGCCCTCGTCCTCTGTATTTAACCTTAAGGACAATCCGGGTTATTACCATGTACCGGATTTGGACGAAGAGGACAAAGCGAAGAAGATGGAGGAAAAAATCAAACAATTGGAAGACCAAATGAATATAGTCAAAGGAGACCGTGACTACCATGAAATCGATGCAACGGAACTTAGTCTAGTCCCGGACTTGGTTCTTCCCCCGAAATTTAAGTCCCCAGAGTTCGAGAAGTTTGACGGGAACAGTTGCCCATCCGCTCACATCACCATGTTTTGCCGAAAGATGACAGGATATGGAGGAAATGACCAACTCCTGATCCACTGTTTTCAGGATAGTCTGTCGGGCTCAGCCATTCGGTGGTACAACCAGCTCAGCCGATCAAATATCAAGACCTGGAAGGACCTGGCCAAGTCATTTCTGGAACAATACAAGCATAACAATGATATAAGGCCAGATCGAGTTATGCTACAAAACATGGAAAAGAAGCATAACGAGAGTTTCAGGCAGTACGCACAAAAATGGAGGGACTTGGCTGTGCAAGTTCATCCACCGTTAGATGAAAAGGAAACCCGGAAACTTTTCGTGCAGACTCTGAAGGCTCCATACTTCGGGCATTTGGTGGCGATCACATCAGGAAGCTTTTCAGACTTGGTTATGGCCGGAGAAATGATTGAGTCGGCCATAAAGCAAGGCAAGATTAAGGATGGGGAAGCCAGTAAGAAGCCTCCTATGAGGGAGAGGGATGGAGAGGTTAACAACATCAAACACTCCAGCAAAGGTGTTACAATCTCCAGCCCAAAACCAACTGCGGCTGTACCGTTAGGTACTTCTAAACAAGAGTCCAGGAGGGAAAGGGAACATTTCGACCCTATTCCCATGACCTACAAAGAGCTTTACCAGCAACTTCTTGACACCCATGTGGTGTCACCATATCCAGTAGAACCCATGAAGCCCCCATACCCCAAGTGGTATGACGAGAATGCGTATTGTGAATATCACGGCGGAGTCCCAGGACATACAATTGAGAACTGTTACGCATTTAAGAGGGTCGTACAAAAGATGCGTAACCAGAACTGGATCGACTTCAACAATTTGGGGGCATCCAAGTGAGGAATATCATTTCATCATTTGAGGCATTCTGTTTGACTTTGTTTTCTTCCATTTTTTTTTCTCAAAGTTTTTGTAAGAACGTTTTAATCAAATTTATGTTACTTTAAAAGATGTTAAGCAATGGATCATATTTGCAAATTTGCAATTCTTTGAATATCATCTGAATTAAGAAACCCTGTAAATGGTTCAAAGTTACAGATCTTTGACGAAGTAACAAAAAAACTTTGACCTTACCCAGAATATACCCTCAAACACCGTACCCTACTCTTGCAATTAACCAATATAACCTTTTCCTTTCATAAGGTGCGAACAACATGGGGCATCGTTTGCATATGACAATTACTATGTTTGTTATTTAAGACGTTCAATGACGATGATGATCTTTACAAATGAAAGAGTCGAGTAGGTGAATCCAGTTTAGGTCAGTTGCTTGAAAATTGAACTTTAAAGATGAGATTCCTTGACTTTCAAAAACACCTAGGCTATAACAGGTTCTTCTTGACAATCTTAGGAAATTAAATCCGTAAAAACTGAGCTATTCCGCTAAGGCAATTGGTTATAGAGGAAACTTGAAAGCCCTGGCCTTATGAGTAGATTACGTTCAAACCATGACATTGCTCGGACACTTGGCAATTCGGTGTTTGCTCCACTGCTCTTGTCAGGCTGAAGACTCTGTGATGAGATGAACTCTTCAGTTAACTTGATATTTGTGATTATAATATTAAGCTGTCCCTCTAAAGCAATTGGTTAAACACCCCGGCTTTATGGATTCAGCTAGTCAGATAACGCCGAATTAAATCAAATTTATCTAAGCAAGAAATTTTCGGTAAAATGGACTAAGGGAGTTAAGGAACACCTGTTATAGTCAACTACACACGAGCACTCAAGAATTTCATTTTTAGACCGATGTTTTTGCACTGCCTTTGTTAGAGGAGCCTACAAAGCTTGAACAAATAGA